CATATAAATTTTATTGTTTGTCGATTTATTGTGTGTTTAATCGAGCCCAATGACGACCCAGATAAGAGTCCTCATGTCAAATTTTTCCATTCGTGCTCAGGATTTAGCCAGGTGTTAATTAAACTTTTGATCAATAATGATTGATGTTATTGTTCATAGATAGGACTAAACGCCATGGAAACGCATAGTAAAAATCGTGAAAAAAAGTAACATTTAAGAAGTGCACTTGTCTAAATATGGTATAAGTAAATAAGATTCTGTTTCACTTTAGGTTGCACCAGTGCGACACCTTTACTTTGTGAGCACCCTGTTTCAACAGTCCACTAATAGATGCGTTTTCTCTTTTCGAGTACCCACTTCCGACTATCTTCTCTAAAATGCATCATATATCCGTTACCAGGTCGAATGTACGTTGGATGCATCTCAAGAAGGCGTATCACTTTTTCATAAGATGATACCCCGTTCTCGAGATATTCGCATTTAGAGTTTTGACTCCATCAACAGATGCGTTTTGTTAAGACCTTCACTGGTCTTGTTTGTGGATACTCAATTTTGACATTTCGCGTTAAAGATTTTCTCATTTGAATTCTGACCCTACCGACATGTTGAAACCTATTTTTAAGAAACGCAGCTTTTTCCAAGGTCCTAATGCTGAAATTTCAAATACTGAAAAATACCCTGAGGAGTGTCCTTATGCACATACGTCTAGCTTTGAATTACTGATGAAATAGTTAATTGACGTCGTCACATACGTTTTCCCTTTTTAAAATTTAAGTGGTATCTAAAATTGGAACTGCATTTTGGTAGAGACTTAATGTCATATCCACCTTAAAACGAATTATATGTACAAGTTGATGATATTAAAATGTGCATCAAAAGCTACGAATGAAACTTTTCATTAAACTGCTCCCTTGTCATCTGCAGGCGCAGTAATTTTTATTAAAACGCGAAGGTGTGCGATTCCAATAACTTCAATTAAATATTACTGCACAGAAATTTTTATGCATTTTAGTTATCCTGCTTTGCAAATCTCTTTAAAAATGACGTTGGAAATTTAATAACGAACGATTCGCTGATTTTTGCGCTTCTCCTTATAAATAATTCTAAAGTTGGAAAATCTCCCGTAATTGCGTATAGGCACATTCCAATAAAAAATTTTCCTAATTTAAATATGAAGGTACAAGGGCGTTGTGCTTTTTTAATTCGTTGTTAATGAATGTCATGCGGTAATCCCTCTTTTCAGGCAGCCGATCATGCCACAAGCGTAAATTTTTCTCTCACTGTAATAGATTTTTGGACTTTTCCAGGTGCAAGCGATTGAATACCATACATGTTTTACATTGGTGGGGGACTGCAAATAATTTCAATTTATGGTGGAGCCGAAACAGTAAACGCTCTTAAGTATTAATAATAATAATAATTTATTTATTTCAATCAGCTACAGAGACGTAGGTTGAAACAGGTCATGAGCATAACTAATATGTATATAGACGTACTTACAATCACATGTACAATTAAAACGTAGACACAACACGAACATTAACAATTGCTTCTAAAAACTCGTTAACAGAATACGGTTCTATGTCTAAGATATATTGAAAAACATTCTTCTCAAAACTGTTATAATTTTTTAATGTCTTAATGCTTTGTGGTAGTAAATTAAAAAATTTTAAGCAAGCATATATGGGGCATTTCTGAAACAAGCTTAGTGTATGTGCCGGATAGTTGTAGTTATTGCGTTGCCTAATGTATAGATAATTTTTTTGATACAATGTAAATTCTGATTTATGTTTATAATTATACATAATACATTCGTATATATATAATCCTACCACAGTTAAAACTCCGTGCCTTTTAAACTGTCCCCGACATGATTCCTTAAAGTCAATTCCACACATTATCCGTAAAACTTGTTTTTGAATTACTAGGACTTTCTTTATATTAGTTTGGCTGGTACTACCCCATATCAATATGCCAAACCGTAACCTTGACTCAAATGTTGTGTGATAAATAGTTCGAATTACAGAACTGCTTAGCACTCTCTTAACTACTCTTATACTATAGCACACATTGTTTAATTTCTTTGCTAACTCGTCAATGTGATACGACCAATTCATGTATTCGTCCGCTATGATTCCCAAAAATTTTGCTTTCACTGATAATTTCCAACTATTTTCTAGATGCGCGTTAGAATAAGTTGATAGATGATTACTTTTAAATAACACATACTGAGATTTTTTAACATTAAGCGCCAATTGATTTTTATGCATCCAGTTTTCAACGCCAGAAACAACTTGCTGTGTTTCATTTTGTAGATTAACACAATTTTTAGCTCTAATAATTAATGAAGTATCATCTGCATAATTGATTAATAAAGTGTGTGATTCGCAATTAAGTGCGTCTGATAGGTCATTAAAGTACATAAATACAAAACAGTAAAGGACCTATTATACTTCCCTGAGGAATTCCCCTTTCCAGAGTTGTTATTTCCGAGTAATACGTGTTACCTTCTATTGTTAATTTAACCTGCTGAGATCGTTTTGTTAAATACGATTTCATTAAACTTAGTAGGATGCCTCGTATTCCATATTTTTCTAACTTATTTAGTAATATATTATGATTTACGCAATCATAAGCCTTAGGTAAGTCTAAAAAGGCACCTAGGGGCAATTCTTTCTTATCCAAGATGGTTGCGACTTTGTTTACAAAATGAAAGACGGCTGTTTCAATACTTTTACCTTTAATGTATCCGTGTTGATTATTTCTTAACATTTTGCACTTGACAAAAAAACTGGTCACTCTACTACTCATAATTTTTTCAAAAATTTTTGAAAAACACGTTAGTAAGCTAATCGGACGGTAATTTTCAAATTTTCCCGGGTCGCCTTTTTTAAATAAAGGTACCACTGTGGCTAGTTTTAATTTTTCTGGAAAGACGCCGTGCTTTATTGAGCTGTTAATTACCACCCTTAAAGGCTGGGCCAAATACATAATTACTTGTTTCACTAGGTTGTTGGATATTTCATCGTGAGCTGATGTTTTTTGTTTTTTAAGGATCTTACAACTGATACTACTTCGTCATCTGTTACCGCATACATAAAAAAAGAATTTTCATTATACGGAATCTCATCTCCATAGGGGATTTTTGGTAGTTTACCTATTATGTCGCCGGCTGCATGTGCATAAAATTTGTTAAGTTTATTTGCTATTGTATTCGGGTCGCCTTTCAGAGAAAAACTATTGTTTTTCGTTCTCTTCAAGTTTCCCGTCACGGCACTTACATTTTCCCAGGTGGTTTTAGAAGTATTATCGGAATTAGAAATTTTGTCATTATAATATTTTGATTTTGCTGAATCAATTAACGTATCGGACGTATTGGAGGTCACCCAATTTTCATATCCCCAGAAAAATTACCTCAGGAGTATTCGCCTCTCTACCGAAACATAACCACTGGAATGTTTGTTCCAAGAACCATACCGTAATATAATAACGGGTGATCAGAAAAGGATTGACGTCGAGTCGCCTTTGGAAGTTCCAAGTTAAATATGGTTTCCCATGTAAACATAAATTCCAAAGGTGTAAAATATCGAAGAAAACACAAAAAAATAAAGAAAATTGCGAGGAAAATTATTACAAAAGTAAATAAGAGAACTAATGACAGCGACCGTTACATCAACGGTTTTCAATCTTACCAAACTGTTAAATTAAATACTATCAAATTAAAATGTGATAAATATAGATTATTCGCGGTTGCGATTATCAGTAAATCACGTGGTGGGTAATAATGACCAATAAACGCAAGACATCTCCTATCACGCAAGTCTTTAAAGGATTTCAAATGTGCACAGTGCGATTATACACTCCCAAATATTTCAGTGTGCAGTGTGCCGATTAAAAAACAAAATACTTCAAAATATGTAAAGTGAACAACATTGCAATTGTGCAATAAGTCGTCAACTAGTTCTGAAATGCCTTCAAAAGATTTAAAATGTGCACAGTGTCATTAAGTATACAACGAACTACTGTATCCGACACGTAAGAAGACGGAAGATCACTCATCCTCACTATTCATATATCCCCCTGCTCTTTCATACGTGCCGGTACCAATATAAAGTAAAATTAAGTACTTAGCCATATGACAACTTACAATACTTTCAAATATTTAAAATGTGCATAGTATGTTGTAACACATCACCACCATGTCCTGGAACGGTATCTCTTAAATCACAAAATCTCAAAAGATTTAAAATGTGCACACTGTAATGGCATTATATGGAAATGTTAGGCAATGTCAATGTTAATAGGTATATACGAGGTTCGCCGAGATAGGCGATAAAACGTTCGTTGGGTCTGCTATTATGTATATAAATAGAAATAAATGTCTGTCTCTTATGCATGTCGAAACCGTTCATCTGATTGCGATAAAACTTTGGGGAATGGTTGCACGTATGCTCGCGAAAGTTTCTGAGTTAGTAAAATACTCGAAATTCCCATGGAAACGGGAACAGAACAAAAACAGGATTTTAAAGAGCGTGAAGGTGCGTACTCCGAAAGAACTTCCTGAAGTTCCCACGGGAACGGCGAAAACAGAAACGGGGTACGGGAAAAAAAGCGATACGAAGTTCGCCAGGATAACTAAATTGGCGCACAAATCTGCACAAAATGGGCAAAATATTTTGGAAAGTCATCAGTTGGGATGCCGAAACAGGCCTGCTACGTTAATCTACCTGTCCTAATTAAGGAAGTCTGAATTTAGGAGAAGGAGAGTAAGATGTGTAATTTAGCCGACGACTCGCCACAAGGCTTAGGATGATGCTTCGGTATCTGGTAATTCCTAGAAAGCGGTTTAACGTAACAAATGTTGTTTTCCAGCACATAGTCAGCTCAAAGACATTACTTTGGGTCCTTTTCTACTAACCTGTAGTTTTTTTTACATGTCCAACCCCTAAAATGAACACCTATTTGATTTCGATTTTACTTCTAGATTCTGATACCCATTATTACATTCGCAGATCTAAATTTCTACAAAGCCCGCAAACTGTTCCAAATTGCGATCCTGCACCACAAACTTGCCGTACACAAATTTTACGCGTGAGAAACGCAAAGTGAATAAACTTACCCTTAAATTTGACTTTATCAAAACTGCTGGTGATGAGCCGCAACTCGGGATTGGGAGTGTCTCCAATCTGTAAACCAAAATTACAACATTAGAAGTGACACTCACTTATTCTTGAACCCAACCCAGTTTATACGCGGCCAACCCCAATAGCGTGACTAAAATCAGTTGCATTGTTGACCTTCCATAGGTAATTTAGTACTCATGCCTGAATAGAGAAGAAAAGGACACAGTGGCGAACATTAAATACCCATTAAGAGCATATGAATTCAACTTTCGAGAGACCGGCCAAATGAACAAGTAAATATTGTGTAAACGACCCAATAAAATTGCAGTAAAAATACTGCCGCGTTAGTATGATATAAATTCTTAAAGCAAAATGTACAAGACCCTTTTAACGGACGGGTACGTTACAGTTAGCGGGCGGTAATGTCACTGAAGATTAGCATATTGTGAGCGTGCGATGTCCGTTTTCCCAGCTTTTAGACGGGTTTTATAGTGTCCGTTGCTCATTGTTGCGATACACCGAATATATTACAAAGTGGACGACGACGGCGCCGTGCATACTATTCGAAAATTTCGGTTAAAACCGCTACTGCGCTAAATACATAAACAACTGCAAGAATGCGTTTGTAAAACCGCAGCGAACGTACTGTATGCGCTTTACACTATTTCGATGTAGCTTAATGTTTTTTATGAAGATCGAGGATCCCCTCATGTTAGGTATAGTGGGTTTTAAACACGGTCCTGTAGATTAGCGTTTATTGTGGGACGCTTGTTAAACTTTCGGTAAATTCTCCCCCTGCGCTAAAGAATGATAACGACAACGCATTTGGAAAATTGCTTGCCTGAAACGCACGTGATGGCAGTTTATTTGCTTCGTCGTGTACGCCATAGCGATTTATGAACATTCAACGGTGATAGACTAAGATAATAAATAACATGCCTACTTTTCTGTATGGAGTGATACGTTTTCATGGATGTTTCTGAACGATAATAATGCTAGAATTGACCTGCTTTCAGCGACTGTAAAAATTTATTCCGCAGTATGAGATATTTCATATTTATACCCGTACCTAATGAACACAGTTTGCCAAATGAAATCAATTTAATACATAAAACCGCGAATTGATATGTTGTTTTCTATTTAGTTACTTAATTTCATAATGTTACTAGCTTGATCTTATTTTTGTTGTCATATTTAAAAAAAGTTCATTCTTTAATATACCTCACCAAAAAATAGTAGTATCCATTTAAAAAAAGTGACTCTGAGTTCTGTAGACGTCTCGGTAGACACATGCCGCTGTAAATAATTTTTTATTATACCTGAATCACAATCTCCGTTTTAAACACTCAAATGCGTGCGAAAAAAGGCCTTTAAAACACACGTGCTTTAAAGTTGCTAAGTAACGATACTTTTGAAACTGTCATCTGGATGAAATAAAAAATCTTCTTAGGTCGCTTTCTGTAAATGCTGAACATTTCTTTGGCTTTTGTACCCATCCTTTGGTTGAAGCTTTCACAAACGCACGTAATTTAGAGTATGCTTCCAAATCTGTTCCACTTTTTAATCGCAACATTGCTTGGAAGTTTTGAATGAATGCACCAAAATATAGAAGATTTAAATACCTTTGACATTTCCTTCATGTATGCCAGCATTATCGATTCATTTAAGACTGAATTCGTAAGTAACTTCCTATTCATCCATGGAAACAACTTTTCATATTCTTTATAATAGGCTTTACTGGAGTTGGATTTTACACCTACCAACGTTTGTTTAGATTTTACAAGCGATTTAATGAACGGTGTATTATCTTTTTCAATGGGAATCGTTTAATTCACAAAGACGATGATTTTTATAAGCAAACGTCAAGTGACATTTCCATGGCAATCGTGAAATTACGAACACCCAGCCCACTTAATTAGACATGTATTCGAGTATAACGTCAATATGACTTCATTGTATTACCTATTTTTAAATTATACTGCAGGTATAATAAAAAATACTATAAGATACACGTGTATAATTGGTCTTTAAAGCACTTGCAACGTTAAAGGCACTCCGCTTTGCGTCGAGCCCTTAAACTCGTTGCGCGTGCTTTAAAGACTTGATTATACACTTGTATCTTAATATACTATTTAAACATGTAGATTTACATAAGTTTTTTTAAATGATTTTTGATACAAAAAATTGCTTTCACATAATTAACAAAAGAATAACTTTTTTTTCAACGCAAACTAGTGAAATTATGAAAGTAATTTTAACACAATCATTTTCCTCAATTTGGATTTTTTTCCTTAATTTGATTATGTAATATAATCAATTGATTATGCCGCTATATCCAAAACAGTGTACCTACTCTTCAAGAATATGTAATGAAAACTAGTGGTTACCATTAAAAAAAAATAACAAACCCCCCTTGACCATGCAGAAGTACGCCACTGATCACAAATTTAAATCGGCGATGCTTGGTGTCGGTTTGTCGAAGTGGATGATGATTTTTTTATGTCTGGGTCTTCCAATTGACTCCGGGAAATGTCGGCGGCAGGTCCAGTGGGTATGTCGACTGTAATGGTGCACATGAGGCATCTGTTTGTATGTTTTCCGTGCATTGGGGTCGTATCAGCAACGACTTTTTGCTTTCCAGTATTAAATGACTGGCCCATCAGGCGAGTTTTGTGGTAGGTAACTTGCGAGCGAGGAGCCATTTTAGCGGTTGGTGGTCGGTGGCTAGGGTGATTGCTATCCCTTCCACGTATCCTAGGAATCTCATGAGCGCCCGTGCCACAGCGAGGGCTTTTCGTTTCGTTGTGAAATAATTCCTCCGCGGCTGGCATACCCCGCAGGTCATTCGCCCAAGCTTTCTCATTAGATGAGTACAGCGCCTAGGGCTGACTGGCTGGCATCGCTCCTGATGACGAAGGGCGCGAGGTTGGATCAGCCTGTTGTAATATCGATGCGGTGGTGAAAAGGGCTTTCAACCGATTAACGGTGGCGCCTTGCACATGTCTGAATAAAGGACATGAGGTGCCTCAAATTCCTGGAAGCTTGTAGATCGGCAATGGCGGAGGTCTTTGCGTGTAATAAGGTGACCTGCGTACTTGATGCGCGTACATGCGAAATGGCATTTTGCCCTTGGCCCTTTCAGTTTGAACTGGCATAGTCTGTTGAAGGTGCGTTGCAGGTCTTGTAGGTGAGTGGCGGAGGTTGGGGATAGGATGATAATGTTGTCCAGGTAGGATAAAATGGTGATGTCGGTGGGTTAACTTTGCAAACGTTCGACGAGCCGTTGGAAGGTCGCAGGGGTGTTTCTTAGCCCAAAAGGCATCCTTTTAAATCGGTTGAGGCCGAAGAGAGAAATGAAGGCGGTTTTAACACGGTTTTTCTTCTACCGCAATTTGTCAGTATCTGGCCTAGAGGTTGATGGCAATTATAGGAGCTTCCTTGGCAATGTGGGAAGCGTGACCAAATTTAAATCGACGCATACCCTTGTGGAGCCGTCGCGTTTGGGTACCATGATGATCGGATTCGGATTCCTCGATAACTTCGTCAGTTTTCATTTTGTCCAGTTGTTGCCGAGTTGTCGCCTTGGCGGCGTTCAACCGGTAGAGCGATTGGGCGACAAGAACGCTTGTCTATGTGGTGCACCAAGTATGGGGTAGACTTTCGGCTCTCCCCCTGGTGTAAAGGCTAGTGCCTTTGCGATCACTTTTGCGAGTTACCTCGATATTGGGGCGGTGGCGATGTCTTCCCCTATTGTTCCGTGCTCTTTCAGTAATTCCGTGAACGAAACGTGCGAGGTTCTTCCGTATTCGTCGGTGGAGGAATCCGTATACCATGTGAAGTTAAAGGGTTTCGTGGACTTCCCCCTCGATCTTCGCAATTATGCCTTGCTTTTGCACGATGAAGAGTTCTGTGGGATCTGCGTCGCTTTGTTCCGTCTAGAACAGTTTCCTGAACAATTGATGTGCGGCTTCTTGGTATCTTGTCGTCGTCTTCCAACAACATGGTGGGACCTCGGAGGCGGTTTTCATCAGACATGTTTACGCAGTCTTTGTACGTGTCTATATTGTCCACAAAGGGGCTACACGTCTCCGGATCCATGAAAACAGGCTGTGTATTTTGTAAATAATCCTCCAGTGGATTGTCTTCAGGGATTCATTCAGTACCTTTTCTGTGAGTTGGATGGTTTTCTGCTGCTTGCTGTGGCAACTTGGCATGGGCTCTCACTATTGGCAGCGTTTGATCTTCTTGAGCACCAATAGTTAAGTGCACATTCTTGTTGGATGCGTGAGTGAACGAAGGTAGTCCAGAGGGATATAAACAAGTAATTTATTTACACCTAACTTTACACTGTCCTTGGGTTTGCTTAAGATAACCTTGTAGGTCGCGTTACTTGGGTCACCGGAATGATCGCTGTTGGCGGATTGCAAATGTGGTTTTAGTTGGGAGCGTCGCTGTTAATTTTGTATTTTTTTGTCAACGCGACGCAACTGTTACAGTGTGTTAAAGTAGCACTATGACCGTATTGAACAAGAAAACACAAATTCAGACCCTGCTCTGTACGGAAACAACTGTTGCAGTCTGATTTTGAACGAAGACCGAAATATTCTGATTGGTATATTCAACAAATTCAAATTGTTTGTGAAATGTAAAAATGGGGGAATAAAGCTAATTATTTCCAATAATGTCTTGATTTGCCTTTGTCTCCGTGCTACATCAAATATGCAAATGACTACTTTCGGTCCCCAAGAAATGCAATTTCGTACACTTTCTGATTGGATGGTAAGTACAGGAAAATGCATTATTTCTAAAGATTTACTGTTTCTCTCCCTACGGTTTCTTACTCTATACTTTTTTTACCGCCTATATACGTCTATAGTCTACGAGTATAACTATAGTATCTATACAGACCGAAATGTGACGTATTAATACAGAGGTAACAGAGGAGTGCTAGCGATAAGCCCTTTCCACTCGAATCCCACGAGAATGGTAATGAGGTTCTTATTGCAATTTCTAATTATAGTTATTCTGGCGATTGAACCTATATTTTGTGAATCCCCGATTTA